TCATTACTTTATGCATAAAATAATAGAAAATTTCGATATGCTCAGAAAAAACATGTGTGAAAAATACTCGATATGTACAAAGATTGAAACATCGTTCTATTTTATCCAGATTTATTTCAATGTAATTTTGGTATCAAAATTGATATCAGAGATGATTTCACTCGTTTCTATTCATCTGTTTATTATGATGAACGTTGTAATTTTTTCTCCGATCGTCTTTTAGCATCTCGATTGAACTACTATAATAATCAATTATTTGACAATTTTCTCTTCGACGAATGTTGTATATTGTTATAAAGTTAGCTTTTCTCGAAAACAAAATACATAGATTATCGTATATGTGGATTCAATAATGAAAATGAAAACTGATTTTCATGAAACAACGTTTTTGTCTTCTTTATTCTCGTTTCATGATGATGCTCATCATCGATTTGGTTTACATATCGAACCGTTTGTTATTCACAATGTTTGAATGCCTGTTACGTTCATTAATGACTCCTAAGCAATCAATGTTATGATCATCAAGTTGAGCGAAATCGAGACATTTGTATCAGATGAAATACAAACAGATGGATGTATATTGTTCCAAATACTAAAATCGAATTTGAGATTTATCGATTGAATTAAATCAATATTGGAATTTCATTGTTGCAAAGTTTTGATTCTTTTATAAAACAATATTCTTTCATCAAAAACATTTGCACAATCTCATTCATCATCCGATGATCAGTTCTGTCAGACATTTCCATTGTTCATTTGTACAGATCCATCATTGACAATAATAATTAATATTTTCATCTTTTCTTGAATACCAACGAAAAAGGAATTGTAAATTGAGAATGACTTTCAGTTTTGTTAACAGATAACTATGATTCCTCTATGTATTGACGAAGAAGAAAGTATTCATTAATCTTTTCTTCATTGTATTTGATTTCAGATATTCTTCGACTTAAATCAAACCATAATTTATCGAATTGATTTTGATAAGTATCCTGTTGATTTTGTAATGCCATAATACTAAAACATCTTGTTTGTTCCTTTGAACGTCGAAGTCGATGAGGTTTCACTTGTTCACGAGTCTTTTTTATATCAATATGAATTTATTCGTCTATTTGATTGAAAAAAGAAACAAATTCATTTTTGAGACAAAGATCGATGGATATGTTTTCGAATCATTGCAGATGTCAATAGAGTTCTCTGATTAATAGTATAAATCCAGTATGATTAACATATTCAATGAATGATCGATTTCTATTTTGATCACAAAATTTTCTTTCAACGATTTTATCAATATATTCCAATCAAAATCGAATTCAAATTCAAATATTTCTGTAATTGAAATAAAGAGACCTCGACAACTGATCGTTCTATGAATCGTAATTCGTAGTCCGGAAAGCAAGATTGCTCTCCTCGCTCACGATTGTAGAGAAAGGCTGTATAAGGATCCAGAATACCATTGGAAGGGTATTGAATAGTATCTAAAGAACAGATTTCCTTGAAAATTTCAGTATAGCGAAAATCTAATCAACATGAATATCCACTCTCTGCTCGTTGTATGATAGAGTACATTTCAGCAGATATAGATACTGGTCGTATTCCGTAGAGTGTTTCTCATGTGCGAAATTTAAAGTAATAATACATCGCCCTTTAGGAATCGTCCATCTCACAAACTCAACATGAGTTTCACAAATAAAATATTTTTCACGCAGTCTGCAGCATTTCAAAGGTTCATATCGCCTTTGAAATTCAAATCGATCTTGAGCACATTGTCCATCACCACATGATCATTGATTCGGAAGATAAATGTGATCATCACATTGAACATTTGTTGTTTTGTAATAACATATTTGATTAACCATCAGTGTGAAGCTAGCACGAAGGAGCTAGCACGAAGAAACTGTGTGTAAGCTAAAAACTTTTTTCCAGAGTTTGTCCGGCCCATAAAACCTAGTCCATTCGATTCAGAATTTAATTTTGCATCGAATGGTGGTATTTTTATTCACCGGACAAACTTTGGAAAAAAGTTTAACCACATCTTTNAAGAGAAAGATAATGATTCTGAAATTCTAGTCAGATTTAATGGGATATTTCTAATTATTTGGTATGAGACATGGATTATGAGTAATATACGTTGATTTGCTATTTCAGTCGACAGTCAAACCAGTCAGTTTTGATAAGCACTATTTTCCTGGATATTATGTTGGTTGTTTACCATTAGAATCATTTCTTCAATCAACTATTCAATGTCTTTATGATCAAATATGCGTTGAACAAATGTCAAAAAATCTTAATTTATCGTTTATTTTAACTTCACTTAATCAATTAAATACTCGATTTAATATAAATACAACAATGAATATGATTATTAAAGATATGTTTATTGAATTATGGCTAATTAATGTATCTTATGAGAATTTTTTTCGGCAATGTCAACCAAAATCATGTTCATATATAATTCAAGAAAGATTTAATTTAATTTATGTTATAACAACATTACTTGGTCTCTCTGGTGGTATTATTATTTTATTAAAACTTTTTGTTCCAATTATAATAAATCAATTATATAAATGGATAAATAAATTTCATCATCGTAATCGACAAATATATCCATTAAATTGAAAATAACTTTTTTTTTTGTTTTCTTATTTATATATTGCTTTTGATTTTGTTTAAACTAAGGCGAAACAATATGCTTTTGTCAGACTAAATAATTAATAAATAGTGCTTATCAAAACTGACTGGTTTGACTGTCGACTGAAATAGCAAATCAACGTATATTACTCATAATCCATGTCTCATACCAAATAATTAGAAATATCCCATTAAATCTGACTAGAATTTCAGAATCATTATCTTTCTCTTTATTTATCGTACATCTCAAGATCAAATTGCGGATTGATTTTGCTTATTTATGTAACAAAATATGTTGCTGGAATAGCTCACCGCTCTATAACACTCGCAAATTCCAAGCTTACTGTTTTATTTTAGTCACCACGATTAGACATACGCCAATTCCGATTCCAATTCTAGAATCGAGATTGTTACATGCCTAGTTGTAGTGCTATTTGTTATTGTAATCAATAACATCTTGACTTTTTATTTGTATCCCGAATAGTTGTAATCACAGATAAATGAAAAGCTAAATCAGGATTCTGTTCTCATATTTTTCTTGAATAAGTAATCGATAATTTTAGTTCGATTCTTTGTTCACTTGAATAGATAAAAGAAAGTGTACGAGAATACACTGTGTGACAAAAAAAAAGCGCAGTAGGGGTATAGCACCAGAATTTTCATTCAGTATGGACTCAGTTCAGTTTCAGAATTTCGACAACGGATCCGATCATCCTCACCTCATCGTAGTGAGATATGATTCGCTTAATTCAACTGTCATATTCATACTTTGCTTTTTTGTCCGTAAGGTAACTCATTCTGAAGTTTTACAGATTCGAATTCTCTCTTTTCAAATCGTATTTATTTGTCATATTTATGTCCAAAGTGGTTTTTTGGCAATTTCTTGAAGTCGTTTTTCGGCTTTGTCAAGTCTTTCATATGCTTTAGTAATTTGATCGGATGTTAAGAAGGTTTCGCCTGGTGATGGGAGATCCTCGATAGCAGCAACACGCTCACCAGCTGCATCCCATCGTTCTTTTGCATTTGAGAAAAATCCAGACACTCGAGTCCATACAGTCTCTGAAAAAAAAAGCACATGACATGTGAAAAGAGAATAGGAAAAAGACGAATAATTCTCGAAGAAAAAAGATTGATCAGATTTTGATTGAAATCAATATTAAAATTGAATTTTACTCTTTAGCTGAATTGATTCCACCCTTGTTTAAATAATTTAAAGAACGTGAATAACAGAGTTATCAACCTGGTATTCGAAAATGTTCTCATCATGTGTTTTCCTATTACTATTCAACTACGAGAATTATGTATGGATTGATCCTCACTTCTCAAAAATAAATCTCGTTTTCAATCACCAGTGAATATAAGTTTTCATGAACAGAAATTTGAACGAACTAATATGATAAGGTAGTCGATTCATTTATTTCTACCAGTCAATTCTATCGTCTTATTTTCATCTGTTCGCTGTTTTTATGGGTGAAAATCTTTTAGCAATATGAAATTCAATAAAACTTTGTCAGATTTGTCTACTATTTTTATGAGTAAAAGTTTCACATCGATAAAAGAAGTCTTAGAATTAAATTCACTTGTCGTTCATATGCTCAAAAGAACGATGAATATTTTGATACCGTTGAATTATCGAATGTTTCAGATCAATATCGTGTAACTTTCAACTTTTCCAGTCTTTTGTGAAAGCCAATCTGATGGACAAAATGTAATTAGTAATACGATTGCACTTACTTTTCTCTTGTTGATCATGTTCATCATCAATTTCAATTAAATGAACAATAAAAAAATTATTTTGTTGTTGCAATGGATCACTTTTAACCTTTAATTTTGTCCCGATAGGTAAAATAATTTCATTTTCTTTCGCATAAGCTGTATAATCAGAAACGTCTCTTCCATTCGAAGCTTCAATCATAAAAATTGTACAATTAGTTTCATTTCCAAGAAAGTTTTTGATAACGTCAACATTTAAAGAACAAGAATTGACAGTCCCCCATGTTAATAATTGATTTCTACTAAACTCTCGTCCAATGTCGAGAGAAATTCCTCTCCAAACAGGTGTTTTTACTTTCGGTAATTTTTCTAACGCAGTTTGAAATAATTTCAAATAAGAAAACCAAATTTTCAAACTATCTCGATTTTCATCCCGTAAGGTTTGATTTAGAATTCGATATAAACTTGTTGGACTCCATTCCATTGTATAAATATAAATTGAAGCAGATTCATCTTTTGTTAAACCATGTTCCGATGGAAAACGACAATGTTTTTTTGCTTTTTGAATATAAAAATCGATTTGATCAATTTGTAATTGAATTGATTTTAAAGATTCTTCAAGTGAAACAAGTTTTGCACTCTGATAACCATAAACAGCTGGAAGTTCTGTAAATGAATAATCAATATCACTAAAACGATTCATTTCGGACGATTCTCCAACAATTCAAATGAGAAATATTTTAAAAGAAAACCTAAAAACAAAGTGATAAGAAATTTCTTTTTAAAAAGATAATATCTTTCCTTTTCTTGAATATTCTTTTAAAAGAAAAGATATTCTTTTTACATGTAAAACCACTGATAATATTATCATGATCATTGCTTATGACTCTTAACGAAAAAGACGAGAATTGTCTGAATAACGAAATGATGATCTTGTAGATTGTTCTTACGTTTCATTCAAAAAGTCTTCAAATGAATAACATCGCTTCTTTTTTTCTCTTTATTTATTAAAGATAAAAATCTTTTATATAAAGAAGATAAAACTCGTGAAAAAAGAAATCTTTAAAGATGATATTCTATACTGTTTTGATGATATCATTGTATCGATGTCAGAAAACTTTTTAAAAAATGAATATCTGAATGTTTATATGTTTGGATAATGGAATTAAGAAACTGATTTATTTTATTCGAAAATATCATTGATGATCTACTTTTGTTTTTCATTAAAAAAGAATTTATTAAAATGACATTTTTCGTCTTGAATTAATTGCATTGTTTCAACTCTTCTACACTTTTTTTGTTTTGGTAATTGATGTTTAAACGATCAGTAAAACAACAAAAATATTGTTTATAATTTGTTGATTCAACTCGTATTTCTACATAATATTTAGATCATACATCGATTAGTTGAACAATCATAAGATGTGAATTTAACCGATGATAAATGAAACAATACAAACACGATGAATACACGTAACGACATGTTTAAATTTGAAATGAAATTCTTGAGAAAAACGTGATCAATGTATAGACAAAATGTAGAATCTTATCTTTTGATTTCGTACTAAAACTGGGAGGAAGTGAATCATATCACAGATAAATAGTCTTTTAGTTGAAAGAAGATTTTCAATGAAAAATATGTTAATAACGTTTTTCTAATTTTCGAAATATCTTTAATGAAATAATAACATCAATTAGTTTTAGATGAATATCATATATGGAATAAAACGGAGATCTTTGGAAAATAAAAGTTTTTTTTACATCAAATGTATTTTTAGTTTCATTCATATTAAAATAATCAATAAATTTCTTTCAATTCATCAAATGAATAGACTGAAGTCTATGTGAATCATAGAAAAACATGAATTTCTATTTCGTTACACTTGAACCAATAGATCGTCAAACTTAAGTCTTTTCTACATCGAAAAGTGTGAATGAATGGTGATACAATTCAATTGATACCTTGATTCATCAATTTTCAATTGACAATTTCTCTTATCAAAGTTAATCATGAAAAGAATTTTTATGAAGAAGAATAACATCATATGATCATAAATTTGAGAAAAAGTTGTATAAAACGATAAAAGTGAAAAGAAAAGATTTATTATTCTCTCTCTCTCTGCTTTTTGTACAATAACGAACATATTCAAGTGCTTTCTTTGTATCAAGAATAAACTCAATCAAAATGAATATGAAAAGGGATTCTTATGCCTTTTTATACAACGAATTATTTTTTATCTAATGATTTGTCAAATTAAATTGAAATTCGAAATTGTGATTAGTTCATTTGAAAATATTTTCATTTACTCTCGAACTTTAATCTGATAAAGACAATGTACTTATATTACTTATTTCAAGAAATAATCATTTCTATAAATCAATTCACTTGTATTCCAACATCTTATGATAATCCTCTTTCTTTTTCAACAATTATTTGATCACTTTATCGAAATGTCATTAAACTTCCCTAGTATCAAATAGATGATAAGCTGTGTACATACAAATGGTCTATATATATATAAAACAAAAGCAATATTTAATTTCTATCGGAATCTTGAAGTATATAAAACAATATTGATATTGAATATAAGATGAATATAACTGAGGATACCGAATTAAACAGTGTCGAAGTTGCTGAACCAAAGATCATTGAAAATGAAAGAAGAATAGATGATTACAATGAAATTGAACCGACAACAGAAGAATTATCAACATTGAAACACATTTCTGATCGAATACCATTGGGAGCTTGGTTAATTGTCATTTGTGAATTATGTGAACGTTTTGCATTCTATGGACTTTCTGGTCTCTTTCAAAATTATATTGAATTTCCACTACCAAATGGAACAAATACTCAACCAGGTGCTCTTGATCGTGGTCAACAAATGGCTACGGCATTGACAATGTTTTTTCGATTCTTTGCATATGTAACACCGATCATTGGTGCCATTTTAGCTGATCAATTATGGGGTAAATACAAAACTATAATTGTTTCATGTATTGTTTATATGATTGGTCTTATTGTATTACTTCTAACAAGTATTCCACCGTCTATTGAGAAAGGTATTGCGTTTCCTGGTTTAATCATTGCAATGATTATTATTGGATTTGGTACTGGTGGGGTGAAAAGTAATGTAAGTCCACTAATGGCTGAACAATATACAAGAACAAAACCGATTATCACTGGTAACTGAAATAATTGAAATGAAAATATTCTTTTCTTTTTCTTTTCTCTTTTAGTTATTAAGGGTGAAAGGAAAATTATCGATCCAACTGTGTGAGTTGATGAACTATTTGATCTGCTGATATTTAAAACGATATTAATCGATTTTTAGAACGATGCAATCGATGTTCAATTGGTTTTATTGGGCAATCAATATCGGTGCACTTTCGTTGATTGCTACAACAAATATCGAAAAATATCATTCATTTTGGCTTGCATTTCTTTTACCTACAGTTGTATTTATTGGTGCCATTGTTGTTTTATTCTTTGGTCGCAATAAATACGTTCAAAAACCTCCGATGGGTTCATTAATCATTCGTGCTGCTAAAGTATTGATGACTGCAATTCGTATACGACGGACAATAGGCAAACAACCTGATCGTCCAAGTTTGTTGGATTATGCCAAAGATATACCATCGTCAAATAATGAGAATGAATATGAACAACCAGTGATTGATTCAAGCAACAACGCATTTATTGATGATCTTAAAAAAGCAATACGTGCATGTCGTGTTTTTCTTTTCTATCCATTCTATTGGGCTTGTTATAATCAATTTGGAAGCAATTTGGTATCTCAAGCAGCACAAATGAATGTTGGTTAGTTGATCAATTCTTTCGAATGATTAAGAATAGACAAATTCTTTTTTTTTTATAGGTCCTTTACCCAATGATATTTTACAAAATATTGATCCATTAGTTATAGTTATTTTCATTCCAATCTTTGATAAATTGATCTATCCAGGTTTACGACGATGTAAAATCAATTTTCCAGCTATTTCTCGTATTTTCTGTGGTTTCTTTTGTGTTGCAATTGGTATGGGTTGGTCAGCATTTGTTCAGTATTTAATTTATCAGAATGATCCTGATTGTTATCTTATATCTAATCCAGATGAGAATTGTCCATTAAAAGCCAAGATAACTGTGGCTTGGCAAATTCCAGCGTATTTCGCTATTGCTATTTCGGAAATTTTTGCCTCTGTAACTGGTCTTGAATATGCATTTACTCAAGCACCAGCATCAATGAAATCCATTGTCATGTCACTCTTTCTTTTCACATCAGCTTTTGGTAGCGTTGTGAACATTGCATTGGTACCCGTGTCAGTGGATCCAAAAATTTTATGGATGTATGCTGCGTTAGGCATTCAAGCATTCGTTCTTGGTATTGTCTTTTTCGTTATCTTCCGTAATGATCACAAGGTGCACACTGAACAATCATCGACGAAATAACTTATACACAAAAATTCCCTTTTTCATAGTTTTTAGTTTTATCTTCAAGGTCAGAATATTTTCTTTGATTATACACAGAATATATGAAGAAATAAAATGAGTCACCAATACATATCAGAAACATGCGCTTTCATCTAGTATGACTATAAAAAGGCATTCTGCGTAAAGTAGAATATGGTTAAAAGTTGATTGATGATACAATCGATTTCAAACACTTCTGTCGATTATGAAACAGATTCTGTACGATTTTCTATTCATGATGCTCAACAGTTACAACAGAATGTTGATTATTTGAATGATAATGGTTATGCAGTCTTTATGAATGTTTTCTCACCAGAGAACAAGTTACAGCCAATACGGATTTATTCTAGAAAACACCTTGAAAATCTCTCTTTCGTAGGTAGAGAAAAGCTAAATAATTCGCAACATAAACCGTGTAGATTTTCACAGATCATTGCAAAAGAAAAGCAGATGTCTTTGTTGAAGTACACTTAGTTCGAATACATTCCCAACATTTGTTTTTCCCCAATACTCGATATCATTGTAATTCAACGATAATAAAAAATTCTTAGGTCCGAACAGATTCGATCTTTTTCGCGTCTCTCATTCAATTTTAAAAATAACAAGACTGATAAACAAAAGTTTTCTCATAAAACATGTTCAGTGAAGGTCTCTGCATGTTCACTAAACTATTGTATTTATCGATTCTACACAGTTTGGTTGATACTGTGTTCCTTCGTATAGTATACTATGACATAGTTAAGTTTTGCTTCTATATAAAAGAAAAGGTGTTTTCTGATATTTTCCGCTTTTTGAATTTCAAAAGGCGGTGAGACTTGTATTCCTGTTCATTTCTGATTTAGTTAGAGAATCATTTACATTATATTTGAGTTTTATTTCTGTCGGTTTCTATTGGGATGAAGAATTACTGTAGGAAGGATTATTAATATTCATGTTTATCTCATTGTTCTTTTTTGTGGAAAATGGAAGGCTGTTGGTGTTTCTTTGTATATTCCTCCGACGAAGACAGATTTTAACATAGTAGATAATTAGTTTCCAGTTTATCTTTCTGTTTCATGAAACAATTACTAAGAAGGTTTTTTTCTCCATACAAATAGATGCGAAAATCAATAAATTTTGACATCACTCACGCGAATGATCTTATTGAAAACAATTTAACATTTACGACGTCATCTCCAAACACAACTGTTGATTCCTCTGTATTATCTTCTATCAATTTATCTTATTCATTTCAATTTTGGTTTTATTTATGTTTTGAAATACCTTCTATCATTGGTTATTTATTTGTTTTTGCGTATCTTTTCACACAAAAAGATAAACGTCAAGCATTTCATCATCAATCTACGAATATTGTTCTCATCTTTGCATTCATAATGGTTACACTCGATTTCTCTTTGTATATCGATAGTTTCAATCATAATGGAAAAGTTCGATTTCAGTCGTTTATCTTTTGTTCCATCTGGAATTTCATTGACTACAGTTTGTTTAATTCATCTGGTGTTATCATAGCATGGGCTTCATTCGAACGTCATATTTTCATATTTCATTCACATTTATTTTCTACAAAAAGTAAACGATTCTTTTTTCATTATCTTCCTTTAACATTCATTCTTTTATATTCAATTATTTTCTATATATATGCAATCTACTTTCCACCATGTGAAACTGAATATGATTTCACTCTGCCTGCTTGTGGAGGTGAACCATGTTATTTAGCAGTTTTATCGTTAGGAACATGGGATTCAATCATGCATGGAATCACACCAGTGTTTCTTATTGTATTATTTAATATAGCTTTACTTGTCCGTGTCATATGTCAAAGACGTAATCTTCATCGTCGACAAAATTGGAAAAAATATCAAAAGATGACTTTTGAACTATTCTCAATTGTTATACTTCATTTAACTTTTAATTTACCATTTATGATCATTGTATTTGTCAATTTACTTGGCTATCCTCATTGGGGGAGCGAAGTACAGCAATATATATTTTTTCTCAGTGTTCTAATTCCATATCTTTTACCTTTTGTCTATGGAGCACACATGTCTCAAAAATGGCTCAAAATAAAAACATTCTTTTATCGACGTGGTATACGTATTTATCCAGCTATAGCAGTGACAACGAGTACTGTACGACCACGTAAAGCTGGGATGTGAATTCTATATATCCATTGGTCTTTTCAAGATTATATTTATATAAATAATAAAGAATGATAATCTCACCTTCTTCTAAGGATTTTCTTTTCTTCATTTTTAATGTTTTTATGAAATCCTGATTCCATTTAGTAATAGTAGACAAAGACACGCAAGCAGGTGGAATGAATTCTATTCGAAAGTTTTTCACCAATTCAGTTCGCATCAGTCTTGGCATCTTTTGAAGTTCAAAAAGCGGAAAATTATTTTTGAAAAGCAGAAAATATCAGAAAACACCTTTTCTTTTATATAGAAGCAAAACTTAACTATGTCATATTATACTATACGAAGGAACACAGTATCAAGCAAACTGTGTAGAATCAATAAATACAAAAGTTTAGTGAACATGCAGATACTTTCACTGAACATCTTTTATGAGAAAACTTTTGTTTATCAGTCTTGTTATTTTTAAAATTGAATGAGAGACGCGAAAAAGATCGAATCTGTTCGGGCCGAAGAAATTTTTGTTATCGTTGAATTACAATGATATAGAGTAGAGGGGGAAAACAAATGTTGGGAATGTATTCAAACTAAATGTACTTCAACAAAGACATCTGCTTTTCTTTACCTACGAAAGAGATACAAAATGAAAGAATAATTTGTGAGGAAATCTTAGAGATGCAGAAATTCTCTCGCGTGTCTCAACACGAAGAAACAAATTGTTTTTGGAATACTCTGCATCTCACAGAAATCTTCTGATGGATGAGTTAAATAACGTTCTTTCATTTAAAAAATATCTTTCGTTGAAAAGAACACAAACACCAATTAGTGAATGTTGGATATTTTAGACAGAGATTCGAACTTTGTTCACATTCGTTCCAAGTAGAACTCGATAAGCAATATCGATTCCAATCATAAAAAATTGTCACTCAGCCACATCCTCAAATTTGTCGATTTCAAAACATTTCTTTTTGCAAATATTCAGTACTGATATTCGTCGTGAAAATCACATAAAAAAGCATCGAAAAGAATTCTTTGAGGAAAAAGAACATCGTTTGTTTATGTATAAAATTCTTCTACAATGATCAATGGTTTCCGTGCTCTATAAAATACAAAATCAATAGATGATGAAAATTGTTTTTGAGTCCGTTCGATCATAATGTTTGATATTTAGTTGTCTATTCGCATCGAACATTCTAATTTATGGTTTGTTTAAATTCAAATGATGAACAGTTTTCAGATCAGACTTTAAATAAAATCCATCTTTTGATCCATAATTTTTTTCTGCATCTTTTAAAGTATGAATCATCTTGGCGATCTGAACTTCAGTTGCCAGTTTTGTGTTTTATGTTCTTGATAATTATCGATGAGATTTGGATCAATTTCCGGTTGTCGTTGTGAAATATAATCACCGAGTACTAAATAAAAGAAATGACACATAACTTTTCTCACTGTTTCATCGTTCAAATAACGTCGAAGTTTTCGTATTGCGTCCATTGCAATTATAAAATTTACAAAAATCAAATCAAAATCAACTTGATCAGGTTTATGTGTGGCACTATAAATATATACACAGACATATCGAATAATTCTTGGATGGCTTTATCAAGATCATTCGACATATTCCATTGATTATAATAAGTGAGAAAGAACTGATTGTTGGGAAAATATTAAATCGAGTTGAAGTGATTCTTACAAATGTGGTACATTATCATTTTTACGCGTTTCTTTTACAACTTGAAGAGCTCCTTTTGTTCCGCCCATTGGCGCTTTTAAATCAGCAGGAATTTTATCAAACGATCGTGTACAAACAGCTGTTATTGTTAAGGCTTCACATGGAACTACACGACTATTCAATTCAATAGTATAACTTATGTGAATAATTGGATGAAGTAAATCACAGAGAGAGAGAGAGAGATGATCCTTTTGTATCATATCGAGAAGAAATGTCAATATGCTGAACAGAATCGTGTATCACCTAATGAATCATTCGAATTATCTGTTGTGATATCGTCTAGGGAAGATTTCTGTTTATCAGCATAATGACGCATTGTATTCTCATAAATATCTTTCTATTGTTCATCATTTGCATCCAATCAAACCAATGATTCGAGATGATGAGCAATATAAGAATGGAATTTCTCTTTATTTTACATTACTTAATAATGATCAAAATTATCTTCTGAGAAGTAATTCGAGTGTATTCTTCATCTCAATATTAACGTTATAATGATAAAGAAAAATGAATATATCGTCGTTTATATCTATACATTCATCTATTTTTATATTAGTTCTTTGAATGCATTAGTCGCACACATAACTATATTACACTCAATCATTGTGCGTAGATAAAGGTTTACAAAATTCATAATACCTCTGGCAAAAAAAAAACGATAAAAGTCAAATCATGTTCGATATTTTTTAATCTCTCTGTGTATCAATGGTCTAAGTATATTGTATGTGTTGAACTATAACATATTCAGTCTATTAAGTCGTAAATGTACAAGAGTTGAGTTTCACTTTCGATAATGTAATCAGTCAGTGTAATGTCAACAGGAAAAGCATCATTTCCTGTTTATGTGAGAACAATTGTTACTCTTTAGTAGTTTCCACAACGAAGAATTCATGAGTTTTGAAATTTAATAGAGGGAAAAGAGTTTCTACAATATAAATGTTCTTTTTAATCTTAATGAGAAGAATTTTCTTTCACAGTTTAAATGATTAAAATACAGTTCATTATGATCGAGATTGATATGTAATATAGATTTGCGTGACATGTTGTTAAATATGGATCAAAACTACAGAAAAAGTTTCTCCTAAGAATATTTTGCGATTATTGTTGAAAGGCTTTTCACACATCAAATTGACAAAGAACATCAGAGTAGAATTGTATAAAAGTGTCATCTATGTATAACAACATACAGCGAATATTGATGTTACAGTTTTGCTAAAATTGTCCTCAGAAACATGTTTGGAAATCTATATTTTTCTGTATTCATTCACGGTTACATTTATGTGATTATTAATCAAATTTCTAATGAAAAAGTGTGACGATGGTGACGAAATCACTTACAAAATCCAATCTTACACAAGTTATTCGTGTAATTTGTTACAAAGAGCAAATTTATTTAATCTCTCTTGTGTTCTTTTCCATCGTTTTAGTCTCGTGTGAGATCGTATCTGTTAGGTGGCTCTCTTCGAGAGTCACTTCGTTTTTATTCCCTCTTCTTACACATACACACACGTATTTATACATATAGAAAAAAAAGAGAGTTTAGAGAGAAAGTAGAGAGGTAGAAAAGAGCGGATCGGACGTATCTTCTCCCTCCGCTGACAGTATCCAATCCATGGAAAACAACAACAACTACTCATTCAAATATATCATAAGAATAGTGTCAATCGCTTTTCATTCTCTAAAAATAACATCATTATTTCTATTAGAAATTCTGAAAAAGAGGCGAAGAAAATGCTGATTGGGAATAATCTTATTCAGTTGATAAAATATTAATCGTTTCATCAAAATCAGAAACCATCGTCACACCCTCAATCGATTGGACTACAACTACAACAGGATCATCAAGTATGTTTCTATTCAGAGCAAAGAAAGAATTCATCGTCAATATATCTACTCAATGTAGAACATAAGAAAGGTTTTGATTAGTTAACCAAGTGTTTAAACTACAAATAATACATCTATTCGAAAAAATGAACACCGATTAATATTTTTTATTGAAGATGAATATCATCTCGGATTCACTGTATATATTAGAACGAATAGATTCACGATTTTGGTTTTTATTTCTTCGGTTGATTTTAACAAGTATCTCTCTGTTAATGTACCATTTTTCTTCTTCTCATGGAATGTTGCATATCAATCACACGTTTTTGATTTATAATCGAACACAACAAGTCAAAACATTCGAATGAACACAAATATTCAATGCTAATACGCAAGAACTATTGGTTTCGAAGCACTTCTTTTCTTACATTAATTTATTTCAAATGAATTCCATCAAAATTGAGCATTTTTATTGAAGAATATGATTATTTTCAAGGGTAACATTAATTGCAGCAGAAACGGAAATTGGTCCAGTGGTTATAAGACCAGTAGAAGAATCAGTACCTGGACCACGAATAAGATTTGTATGGAAAAGTGTGTTGCCACGTATAGTGAGACCATCGACAGCATAAGCATGAATACCAGCGACTGATGTTTTTTCGATAAAATTGTCTTGAATAATAATATCACTATGATTATTTGGATAAGGTGGCGAGGTTTTGTCCGTATGAACGAAAACACTAATAGCACCAGGTGTAACGATACCTGTTGCAGATAAACTTATATCTACGCCAATGTAACTGAGGTTATTATTTTGAATTGTAACGTTATTGACCCAACCTGCTTCACGCCAATATCCAAGTTCAGGGCCAATAGAAATAGCACATTTAGTAAGACGTTCGAAACGATTTCGTTCAACGAGACCATTGTTAGCCATGATACGTAGCCCACGTCCACGATGATCATGAAAATAACTATCACGAACAATATAATTGGGACAATTCACTTCAACAATGTCAAACCATTGGTCAACACTGAGCGATGTAGTAGGTGAAGACAAAAGATTTATTTCATATGTAGCAACTCCACTGGTTGTACCAATGAATTTGCCTGAAGCATATTTCGCCGTGCCAATTAAATTAAAATTACCATTAGCGTGTAAACGTAGAGTATCGTTAATCTGCAAAGGATTGAGAAAGCCAGCAGGACTTGGATAAGTGAATTGAAAGCTCGTATTTGAAAGTACTTGACTTATCTTGAAGAAATAACCGTGTACATTGAGAGAATCGTCACCCTGATGAGAAATGTCACAATTATCGATCAATGGTCCTTTGCGACATTGCACAAAGTTAATGGCATCGGCATTAGTTGAGAAGAGTCGCGTCTGAATTGCACCAGTTGGTTTTGTGCCAGGTCGTAATGTGACACGACGGAAAATCACAACATCACGATTATAACGACCAGCAAAGCCGAGAGTAGGTGAACTAAGTATTGTAAAATCTTCGAAAGAAACTGGACCAGTACATTCATAGATATTCACGGCATTCGTCGCATCTGTCTCACGACGATCAAGTAAAAGAAAATCACCAAGAGCTAGAATATCAGGCCACTTAGGACCCGTTTTAGTTAAAGTACCCGTACGATTTGTAGTTATATTTAGAATTGGTTTGTAAAAATCATAAGCATCGGGATGTCGTCGACCGTCTGGTTTGAATAAATGTGTAGGTGGTGTTCGACCAAAATCAGTACTAAGATCAGGATAACCATCGTGTACGGTGAATGTGATAATAGTTGATGTGACAGCAGTGATGGTACCTTGAGTAAAAGGGAGAGGATCATAGTCGAGTGTTAAGCCACGAATTATCAAATTATTTGCCTTTGAAATGTAAAAGATACTACGTCTACGAGTGGTCATGATCACAGTCGCACCCGTACCATCAATTTCGAGAGTGTTACCATTAAGAATACTAATTTGATCTGTGATGCGATGAATTCCAGCTGGAAGAACGACAAGCGAACGACCAGTTGCAAGAGCGTTTTGAATGAAAACTGCAACGCTAGGCACAGTAGTATTAATCGTTGGATTGATAGGAATAGGCATAATTGATATATTCATGAGATCGGGTTTTCCCGTCCAGAATGGAATTGGTGTATAAGCAGCATTACCACCTAATGTTATCGAATTTTTAACGGTTTTGGATTCCATATAACGACGCCATGGTGGCGAAATCCATGACGATTTCCATACAGAGAGTCGAGTGGCTGTACCTGATGCACGAAGATCAAGACGAAACTGAGCAGCACCATTGTTCCAAACACGAACATCAACTAATTTACTGGTGGTATTATCAGTCAACCATAGACCATAGCCGATGTTATCGTGTATCATAATATTAGTAATATTCGTAACACAGTCATTGACATTAGCAATACCATTATCATTGGCCCAAAAACGACCATTAATGATTGAGCAAGACATCGTATCGTGTGAAGAAAAACCTTCATCAAGATTATTGTAACCAGCAATATTTTCAAAGACAATATTATCACCATTGCCATGAAGATTAAAACCATCATTAAGACTACCGGTGGCAATTATATTACGATAGATATGATGAGAAATACCATTAATAGCAACAACGAAAAGACGAGTAGAGATTTCCCAATCTTCCGTTGAACTCCCAGATGTAAGTTCAAAAGTTTTTTCCATCTGTCCGCAGTTTAATTGGTCCAAGAAAATCACCAGTCATTTGATCTTGAAGAATACGTCGACCTTGCCATGTAATAACAACTGGTGTTGTATCAAATGATTTAGAAAGCGTGTAGATCCAAACATTTCCATCGAATGTGAAAGTCATTGGATCGAAACCGGTAATTGTCTCACCATTACCTTCAACTATAATCGGAGCTAAATCAGTACCATTTGCTCTAATTTTGAGTGTCTCACGATATGGACCACTGCCTTTCGCTAAAACAATGGTGTCACCTGGAGAAGCGACAGCGACTGCAGCAGCAATCGTTTTATATGGAGTTCCACCACGTTGATCGACAAGTAATTGTCGATTAGAACCTTTATGTTGAAAAATATCACCTTAAAAACATTTGAATATGAATTAAAGCATACTTGTTATTCCTGCAACGACACCCAGTAAAATTTTGAAAATAAGAAGATGAAAATGGCATAGGTTCTTCATATTGTCAATTGGGATTTATGAAGAAAAAATCGCACATTACAAAGTTATAAACGATACTACAATGTACTTCTGTTTTGTTACGAGGTGGTATTAAAAAAGAATTAAAAAATCAATTTTAATAGCATTTTAAAAAGAAATACGAATTTAGAACGTGAAATCTTGAAAAATGAATTGAAAAAATAGAAGATTATAGAGTAGAATCGATATAGAAATCGATATACAATAGCTCGACGATATATTCTCCGAAGTCTTCTTCGTGGAACGATGAACAAACATTTATTTACATTAATGACGGGTTATGAAAACATATTCGTTGAATTATTTAATTCTTTCGTGATTTCTAATTGCATTTGAATTCTCTTTATAAAACAGAGTGAACAAAACATGAATAGAATATCAATATTGTTTATTATCCTTTTCGTTACGTTTTCGTTTATCATCTAATTGATTTGATATTTATCTTTGTCAAGTTTCTCAGATTTGAATGAAAGAATTTTGTTCTGAATTGTTTATATGACGAATATTTGTCTTATAAATTATTCTTCATATTTTTTCTTTTGTATTGAATAAAATCTAATGAATAGAATATTCGTATGATTTGTTCATATGAAATGTGTTCATCTCTCGTACAATTTATTTGAAATTTCAATTGAAATTGAATAAATGATTTCAATGAGATATCAGTGTCATTTATTTTCGTCAATGATGTGTTTTCAGATTATTTGAATTGATGAAAAAGGTTTGAAGAAAATTTTCCCTCAAGTTATTCATCTATTTTGTATCTCAATACGATCTTATGTATTTCAATAGAACTTTTCTATGAATTCTTTCTTGTTCATGTGTTCTTTCGTAATCGAATTCGATTGACATTAGTTTTCCAAACGGAATCAAAATCTGAATAGAAATTTGGTATAAATGATTCATTTCTTGTGTATTTCTCAAATATCTCATCAACTTTTCAATTTTCTTTTTTCATTGAGTAGAAAATCTTTGTTTAATTAGTTTATTGAAATGATCATCATCTTCTCTTTTAATTATTTCACTTATTCATAACGATGACAATGTCGACTTGAAAAGAACAAAAATCATATGAGAATATTAGTTAATCGACTAAACATTACATTTGGTTTTGAAAGAAAGAAAAAAGAAACTTTTGACAATAAATGATAATATCGATTTATTTTTGAAAAGTATTTTATTTACCCATCAGATAATAAAATAGACTTTCATATAAAATCGAAATTCCTTGTCATGTCTGACATAAACAACAATTTGTATTGCAAATAGAATGATAAGAAAAGCGTATTTAAGAGAGAAAATGATTCCTTTTTCTCGAAAATTCAAGAAATCTAATTTGACTATCAGATCAATAATTATGATCATTAGAAATTGATCGAAAATATTTTCAATAACAAAATCTAATCTCTATCGATTTGTTTTGAATGAATTTAAGATTCGTTGAGATTTGGAAGTTGTTGTTGAATTACGATTTATTGAAGATGAATTGAACGGATCGTTTAGATTTGATATTGTTGTGCTTAAAATAGTTTTTCTTTAGTCTGAAGAGTATTTTGACTATTGTGTTGAATGAAGTTACGACAGAAATTGAAGTAGAGACTGTCGTTGATGAAATAATAATGAATGATTGAGCTCAAATATATTCAGGAAACTATTGATACATACGTGGAAAAAAAGATATTTCGATTTACTTGTGGTGAGAAGTGAACTCGAAAGAACAGTTGATGTTGTTGCTGATTGTCCAACTGAAATATTCGCAAAAAAACAATTATAAAATCAAATGAGTTATTTTTATTATTCTCTGTATTAGAGAATTGTGTTGCGTCTATCGAAGTGGAAACTATTGGCAAAATGGAAGATGATAATTGAACTGAAACATTCTTTCGAGATGAATCGTTTTCTCGTTTTGTTTTATTACTTTACCTGTCGTTGATGAAAATGTTATTGTTCGAGCTAAACAAATCAATGAAAACAAGTTCTGAAATAGTATTACATGTTGATCCGATCATTCTTACCATAAAAATTTCCTTTGAGGAGAAACTTTTGGATTCGATTGTTTCCTTTATCGGTTGCACATAAACTTCCCAAACTATCGAAACCAATAGTTTGTGGATTATTTAATCGATTAACTGCTGATTCCGATCGAGAACAACCGATTCAGTTGTTTGGCCAAGTGGAAATTTTATAATTTGATCATTCAAAGAATCTGCGACATACAAATTAAAGTTCGTATCGACGAAAATTACATAAGGATTATTCAACAGATTCAAATTGAAACCCTCAAATACCATTGATTCCAACGAGAATCATTGATAGAGTTTAATTAGTATTCATTGAAACTGTCAGCACGATATGATCAGCAAACGAAGAACAATAAAATAAGTGTATTGTTGATATTTGCGAATAATTGTCCACACTGATGCACAATACAACAATGACTGTTGATGGATAATACATTGTCACTGTACCAACCATTAACATCTGAAGAAGCATAATCTTACAGTAACATATAAATCATAGGGACTTTCCAACTGCCATGGACATTGACAAAATCTTGATTGATTCTAAGAAACAACTAGAAAAAAAAAGAATATTCTCATTTCATGTTCCTTTCGACAATGTTCAATGTTCGAAAATGATTTCTATTCAATTCGTGTATGAACAATCAATAAGAAAGTTAAGAGATTTACTTTGCAAAACTATGAAAGTTGAACGATAAGAAAACAAAATAATGTTTCATATCAACTCATTGAACTAAATTTCAACTGGTCTTTTCCTACAGTGCACAACACATAAAAGAGAAAAAAAACTGATGTAAACAAAGACTTTGTGATTCTTCAATGGTTGATGTACACGTACGTCATTCTATTCAATGATCGTTCAAATTGTGAAAAATTTACTCAATCAATGTTCTGATGTAGAATATCGAGTTAAAGATCTGTACATACTCGTTGCTTTATTTTTTGTGTATCGGAAGATAAAAATTATCGATCAGGAAAGCGAAGACGTACGTGTGGGTAATGTGAATGAAATCTAATTCAAGTGATTTCTCGACAGAAAATCATGACAAACCTTCCATATTGCTTTGTTAAGTATAGGAAAATGTGAATAAATTGTTCCGAGAATAGTTAAAGGCAATTGTAGCACAGATGAGCACCGCATTCGAAGTTTTCAAAATTTGAACCGAATCGAACGAAATCGACAGTTATCATTGATACTTTATTTTCTATTTAATTAAGTGGAAATACTTCAATTAATATAAATATTTAAACAAAACTTCTAGAAAAGCTCAAAAATATTTTTTCTTAATCTCGTTGAATTTTTTGTGAGAATTTGTCGTTTGAAATCTTTCAAATGAATTTTGAAAAATAATATCGTGAATACATTTTCCAGTGGCGTAACCAGAAGAAGAGAAAATGAGTAATATTCCATTCCATTTCGAGTTTAGATCATTATGATTTTACTCTTTTGAATTTTTTTTATCTGTTCTTCGGTGAGATGTCGACTGATTTTTTCTCCCATTTCGAATTTACGTGTAGTTTTTATATAAGAAAAAAATGACTCAAAATCGACTAAATTTGATGAATAATCAGAAAACTAATAATCAGATTTGTTTTCGTCGTTTTTTTTACTTCAATGCTTATAGTTCATTTATATTTTCAAAAATTAAATTTCAATAAATAGATTTTAAAAAGTGAGTTTGATACAACTGACTTAGGTTTAAGATTTCGGTTTGGTATAAATGTCTGATGAAAAGAACAAGATTCTACTCGTATTATTATTTTTTGTATTTTAGAAATATTTTGTCATGTTCATCGATGAAATTCTTGCCCATTGGTCTAAAAATTCTGATAAGGCCACTTATGATATATCTACACAATATGTAATATGTGTCCGACATGTTTCATTTGACACTTAGGATTTTTATGAACCATTGATGACTTAGGAATTTTGGCTTTAAAGTTCAGTATTGCGACAGTTTTCTTCAAGGAAGAATCTTTGTCAGTTTATTTCTAAGTCATCTTCGCAAATGAATATTCAGTGTTCGAGACTATTTTATGTGATAGAAGATTCGACATTAAATTCTTTGATATTTATTATTTCGTCTAATACGTTGAGAGCAGTTCTTCTCTAGTTTATCGTTAAATTTGGATTAACTATTTCAAGTCACATATGTGGTAGATGATTTAAACGCTTGATTTACAAGTGAAAATTAATTCTATTTTCAAAGGATTAAAACATAAAAAAGGATAAATATCGAAAATAGAAGAAGCCATATGAAAATCAAAACAAAGTTTATGTTACACGAGGGACAGATGTAGAAATGATAGCACCATAGTAGTGAGGATAACAATAGAAGCAATAGGATTCATATAGAAAGATTGATCAGTATAAAGATGTTTGAATGTAAAATTACACCATCATTGAAATTTTCATTGATTTGTTTACTAATATTTCCATCTAACAGTTTCGAAATCGATAACCAATGCAGTTATATTGTCCACTTGATAGTAGATGTTAATTGACGTCTTTATCAAGATCAGCTAGTTCTCTCTTGACAAGTTGCATAACAGTAGCAACAGTAGCAGCAATGAATGTTTTCGAGAGAGTTCATAATTGTATGAGTATCATTGAGTACGATGATTAGATCATCTAGAATAGGGACCTTCATGAGAGATTTCTCTTATACAAGAAAAAATGATTTTTATTGGCGTAAGAATATGCTGCAAATGAATGTAACAAAACCTCGTGTATTAAAAGCTTTGAATAGAAGAAAAAGACGAATAAAGTCTTTTTTTGATCATCATTTTTTCTTTGTTCTATTACGTAGCTCAGTCGCTATATTAAGATTTTGCGAACGTCAACATTGAAAGATAAAACGAAGCACAACTACAGCGACTGACATAGATTGATTGGATTATTTAAATAAAAATGATAGAAAAATACTCTCCTAACGACGGGATGTTGAAGATGAAGAATAAATAAACATAAGGATAAAATAAAATGTACTAAATAATGAGTAATGAAATATACGTCTTTTTATGTAAATTTTAAATTAAAAAATGAATGAAAAATTGTTGGAATTATGTAAAGTTAAACTTCATTTGTTGATGTTGATATCTATGCATAATTTATGATAAGAATATTATAGAATTATTTAGATTTACTTCAGAGAAAACTCGTGAATTATAAGACAATTCTATTGAAACTAAATCTAATGAAAATAAATGAAACAACAGAGTTTTGACTTCAATTGCATTTGTCGACATTAAAAGTAACACGTCGAACTTACAACAACCACGGTCAATTTTCCAAAATTTCATATCTTATAAAATATTTGATCATAACAACAAATCTGAAAAGAAGAGGGAAGATGCAACACAAAGAAATGTTGAAACTTTAAACCTTATTGATGTGAAAACAGATTCTCCTGAAAAAAAAAGAAGAAAACTAATGAATTTCTTTTTCACATAAATCATTCTAAGATTTCAGAAATCATTTTTGCTAAAAATTTCAACTCAAATTGATTAATTCAGAATGTAAAATGAAGAGAAACAAAAACAAGAAATGGATTTTCTTCTCATCAAATATCTTTTCTTGTTTTCTAATCAAATTGATCATATTGAAAACTTGCGTAATGATGTGTTTCATCAAAAAGCATTTAGCCGAGTTGAAGTCATGCTTCATCCGTTTTCGTTTCTTTTCTCGCTCGTTTACACAACGAATTAAATAAATTCAAAAATCCTCGCTATTCATCTATACAAACGATATAGTTCACCAAGCGAACACGAAATTAGACGAAGTCATGGCTCACCGCTTTTCTCATTCTTTTCTTTTTCGATAAGAAAGAGAAAAAAAGAGCAGAAAATCTCGTCTATAAATATAGATTGTTTTATTACTAACGTTCATTATTATTTCACTTATTTCATTCGTCATCAAATCGATAAGAAACATGTGGGGCAATGGTTATAATCTCTATGGAAATTTTCAGCAACAAGATGCACAACCAAACTATTGGTTTAATCAAAATGCATCAAGTGCTACAAGTAGTGAGTTACTTTTACTGTTCTTAGAATTGTTTATAATTTTATTTTCAAAGTCTAATCATTTCTGTCGAGAAATAGTTTAATGATATACATTATTCTTTTTCTTTTAGATCCATTTGGTCTTCGTTTTGACAATTATCTGAGTGGTGCGGCAAATCCATTTGCTGGTCAAGTTTACAGCAATATATATCAACCATATAACAATTTTGGTTATCAATTTAAATGATAATTACATCATCAAGTTAAATTCAACCAATATCATTTATATAAACTCGATTTCTTTTCTTTGTTCATCTTTTTTGTTCTTAAAAAACATATTACAGTCGACTGTAATATTCCTAATAAATCATTCATCATAAGTAGTAAAAGTAAATTTGTATCATTCTTCAAGTTAATAACAATACTTTGTTATTCATCAGAGAAAACTTTTGTAAAAAAAGATGTTGAAATTGTGTAAGTAACATCGATTAAATGAATAGATAATCATTATTTACGTTCATATTCCAATTTCTAATTTTATTAGAAAAAATCTCAACCGATAGAAAAAATATGTCATTGAAAAAGAAAAACGAAATTTCACATCTTTCTCCTTCATGGAAAAATAAATGTCGATTTTATTAATGTCAACTAAAACCGTATCATCTATTATATATATTCTATAGTTATACACTTTCAACATGAAAAATCTGTAATTAATAACATTACATGAATCTTATTCAGATCAATTGATGACAAATATATACCTGGTTACTCATTACAAGACAATGCTACATGTACTTCTTATGATGTTGTTTGTAATATTACAAATACATTGTTGAACTCATTACTTTATGCATAAAATAATAGAAAATTTCGATATGCTCAGAAAAAACATGTGTGAAAAATACTCGATATGTACAAAGATTGAAACATCGTTCTATTTTATCCAGATTTATTTCAATGTAATTTTGGTATCAAAATTGATATCAGAGATGATTTTACTCGTTTCTATTCATCTGTTTATTATGGTGAACGTTGTAATTTTCTCTTCGATCGTCTTTTAGCATGTCGATCGAACTACTTTAATAATCAATTATTTGATGATTTTCTCTTCGACGAATATTTCATATTGTCATAAAGTTTGCTTTTCTCGCGAAAACAAAATACATAGATCACCGTTTATGTGGATTCGATAATGAAAATGAAAACTGATTTTCGTGCAACAACGTTTTTATCTTCTTTATTCTCGTTTCATGATGCGGATACTCATCCTCGATTTGGTTTACATGTCGAACGGTTTGTCATTTACAATGTTTGAATGCGTGTTACGTTCATTAATGACTCCTAAGCAATCAATTTTACGATCATCAAGTTGAGCGAAATCGAGATATTTATATCAGATGAAACACAAACAAATGGATGTATTTTGTTACAAATACCAAAATCGAATTTGAGATTCATCAATTGAATTGAATCAATATTGGAATTTCATCGTTGCAAAGTTTCGATTCTTTTATAAAACAATATTCTTTCATGAAAAATATTTGCACAATCTCATTCATCATCCGATGATCAGTTCTGTCAGACATTTCTATTGTTCATTTGCACAGATCCATCATTGACAATAATAATTAATATTTTCATCTTCTCTTGAATACCAACGAAAAAGGAATTGTAAATTGAAAATGACTTTCAGTTTTGTTAACAGATAACCATGATTCCTCTATGTATTGACGAAGAAAGGATTATTCATTAGTCTTTTCTTCATTTTATTCTATTTGATTTCAGATATTCTTCGACTTAAATCAAACCATAATTCATCGAATGGATTTCGACAAGTATCCTGTTGATTTCGTAATGCCATAATATACTAAAACATCTTGTTTATTCCTTTGAACGTCGAAGTCGATGAGGTTTCATTCATTCACGAGTCTCTTTTATATCAAGATGAATTTATTCGTCCATGTGATTGAAACAAGAAACAAATTCATTTTTAACGCAAAGATCGATGGGTATGTTTTCGAATCATTGCTGCCGTCAATAGAGTTCTCTGTTTAATACTATAGGCCCAGTATGATTAACATTTTCAATGAATGATCGATTTCTATTTTGATCACAAAATTTTCTTTCAACCATTTTACCAATACATTTCAATCAAAAATCGAATTCAAATTCAAATATTTCTGTAATTGAAATAAAGAGACTTCGACAATTGATCGTTCTATTAATCGTAATTCGCAGCCTGGAAAGCAAGATTATACTCTTTTCGCTCACGATCGTAGAGAAAGGTTGTATAAGGATCCATAATACCATTGGAAGGGTATTGAATAGTATCGTTCCTTATGTGCGAAATTTAAAGTAATAATACATCGCCCTTTAGACATCGTCCATTTCACAAACTCAAAATGAGTTTCACAAATAAAATATTGTTCACGCAGCCTGCAGCATTTCAATTTCAAAGCTTCATACCGCCTTTGAAATTCAAATCAATCTTGAGCACATTGCCCTAGTCGAACATCTTGTAAGCAAGATCTTGTCAAGATCTTATAGAAAAAAATTTGTTTTTTTAAAAAGCATTATCTGTATCGTATCTTATGTATCTGTACCACAGATCTTGATAAGATCTGTCCTGAAGATATTAAGATATCAAGATAACTGAAATAAGTCTAATTGTAATTATCTTGTACCAAGATCTTGAAATGACTAAAGCGACACCATTAATTGAAAACAATAATTCAAATATTTGAATTATTTACTTAAATATATTTGTAAACACATAACAGAACAGAAAAAATATTAAAAGGTTTCCCCGCAAATTTCACATATGAACCAATCGAATTAAAGCATGAACACAAAGATAAGAACAAATAAAGGCGAAGCGTTTATATTGAATAAGACACGGAAAGCTTAATTAAATCATTATATTTGTTGATGATAATGTAATAGTTATCGTTACATGTATATTAATCATGATCTTTTTTATGCCGAACAAAGTATTCATAAGAAAAAACAAATGTTGGTGTATTATGAAGTCAATAATCAACATAGAGCTACTGATTGTTAGGAAGTCATTTTTCAACGATAATTATTTTGTCAACCTGTTGAATTTTACTTGTATAGGAACTTTAAGAGCAGAAGAAATACATATTTTGAACAATCTATGTACACCACGCAGTCTACACTGACGCATCGGCTTTTCTGTTGAAATGAACTAAGCATTTAATACCTATGTACACCATTTATTTCAAAATAATTCTTTGTTACTTTTTATTTTAGTTTACTTTCATGTATTCCACATTATTAATTTTAGATATGAATAACAATTATTGTTCCAAAAGTACAACTCAGCGAACAAGAGAATATATGCGTCAATACCGATTTCAACGTCAGCAAAGCGAAACTTTGCGAATGCTCGAAAGTGATGAAGATGAAGATGCTGCTATGAACATATCCAACTCAATTGACTCATCAGCTGATGATGATGTTTCAGATAATCATATTCCTGTCGGTATTGATCAACCTGTTTCACCATCATCATCATCTGATCATGAATCAAATTCTGATAGTGACAATAATGAAGAAACAGATGGCGATTGTGTTAATGATTTCGTGTTATTACATGATGTGAATAATCAAACGAAGTTATTCCCAGGATGTCCGTTGTCTATACGTGAAGCTTGTCTTGCCATTGTTAAATTAGCTCGTCATTTGAATTTAGATAAAAGTGGAATGAAAGAACTATTGAATGGTATTCGATGTCTTTTCCCTGCAGATGTTAAGTTACCACGTACAGTCAAAAAACTGTTGATGGTAATTGGTAAGTAAACGTGTCATCTAACGTCACGCGTTTATATCTTGCCTTTATATTCATGACGTAAACTATTATGTAATATTCTTTCAATAGGTTTTGATTATTCTAAGCGAGTACTATATTATTGTCGTGAATGCTTATGTCGTTTGCAAACTCCTGAACAAACTACATGTATTGATGGTTGTTCTTTGAATAAACAGCGGCGTCCATTTATGAATGTTATTGAATTAGTATTTAACGACGTGAAAGATGAGATTTATTCAACCGCTAAACGATATATAAACTTGATAAACGAATATTCTACTTGTTCAAGTGCAATTTTTCCTAGCGATGTTCCAAACGGTTCAATTTATAAAAGATTAACAAATAAGAATAAAAAACAATTGACCATTATGTTACATACAGATGGTGCACCTGTTACAAAAATTGGTGGAAAATCCTTATGGCCAATTCAAGCAACAATACTCGAAATTCCTCCTCCAGTGAGGGATCGTGCAAATGCTGTTATGGTGTTTGGAGCCTGGTTGGGCAGTACACATCCAAACCGACAACTTCTTTGGAATAATATTGTGGAACAAATTCGATCTTTATATGAAACTGGAATTACAGTTAGATTGAACAATAACAAAAAAGTCAAATATAACATTCGTGTACAGTTGATTACTTTTGATTTACCTGCACTTGCTCATAATTGCAACATAATTCAATTCAATGGCTATGATGCATGTCCATTTTGTAAAATACATGGAATTGCTATTGGAACACAAGTATTTTACCCTTATTCACCAACGCCATCACTACTGAAATCTGATCGCGATTATCTTCAACTGGCACTAGTGAATTTACCGAAATCAAGAACAAACGGCATCAAAGGGCCAACTCCATTAACCAAAATCTTGCTATTTCCTGTGCAAATATGTATCGATTATATGCATCTAGTTTGTAGTGGCCATTTCAAAACATTAATCACATATTGGAGCAATCTGTTATTACCAAATGTCTTCGAACAAGCTTCGACATTGTTATCATCTGTAACATTGCCACATTCATTTGGATACCAATTTATGCAACTAACTCAGTTTACCAATTGGAAAACAAAAATGTTCAGGTAAGATGAGAGTCGAATTGAAATATTTCTTGAGTTCGCTTTCAAAAACGATTAATCTTACATTCTATTTCTAAAATGTTCTTCTTCTGTTTTTAGAGACTTTCTGTTGTACTGTTCGCCGATATTTGTCATCTTATTTCTACCTGATAAGTTAGCATTGCATTTTCTACATTATTTTGCATACATTCGTGTCTTACACTTTTATCAAAGTCCAAATGAATTAGATGGCATCGATGAGTCATTTTCTTTTTACTTCGAACATTTGTCTGAACATTATGGTCCTAAATCCGAACTCTGTACAGTTCATTTACATTCACACCTTCTAGCACAAGTCAAAAGACACGGATCTTTATCTATGACTTCTTGTTTTCCTCGAGAATCATACATTGGTAATGCTGTTAAATGGTGTCAAGGCAAAAAGTATATGTTGGAGCAATTTATTACGTGGTACAAGGTTGATCGAAGTTTATATTCTGATAGCAAATTAGATATTAATAAATTATTTTCAAATGGGCAATTAGATGATAAATATTTAGATAAATTGTTAGTTACATCTATGAATGACAAATTCACGAAATGCTGTGAAAAACAAAATATTCCGCTCGATAAACAAAATCCTGTTAAACAATTTGCTCGTTATTTTCGAGGAATAAAAGTATTTCATTCGTTGTCCTATCAACGTGGTGGATATGCGATTAGCTACTGGGTTTCTTTTAACAGTAACGAATGCTTGAAGAACCATGGAATTTGCTTTGGCGAAGTTATTTATTATTTCAAACACGATGATAAAGATTATGCATTCATAAAACATTATCGATGTATTAATAAAACCTTAGCAGATGGTTTAACTTCCGTCCATGTTTCACAAAATCTGATGAATCAATTGAATAAACATTATCATTTTTTTCATGATGAGAAATATTCTTATAATATTGTATTAGTTACTTCGATAATGAACAAAACCATTCGTATGCCATGGATTGATCCGAAAGTATCGGTTTTTACTGAAGTTTGTGCAGATTGGGAACATGATTGAAATATTGAAAGGACACGATGTTTTTCTGTTTTTATTTACTCAAAAACTTCTTTTGTGTATTATTTCTCAGCTAGTTCATATCTGTTTGTACTTTGTTTTGATTTATATCTTAATACTGCATAAGATATTAAGTAGAGTTGCATTGTAGGTTTCATTTCAGGTATGATACGTACATTAACTTCTACTCTTCACATGGTCAGCTTTGAAAACTTTATTTGTTTTGCTTGTAGATTGATATGACAACAACGACACCACGTCCACAACGAACAACTGCAGGTCATACATCCAAATATGCCGATTATTCAGTTGTTTCTTTTCCACAATTGAAGAAGCATTCAATTATAAAAACGTCATTAATCAATATCGATCCACTCAGTCCCGCAGGTACTCAAGTAGGCAATATCAAGGCTTATGGTGATCGAAAGAAGCTAATGATTATCAAAACAGGTGCACTTATTTTTTCTTATACATTTGACGAAAAGAATGTTGAAATATTTTCAAGGTACTCGTCAAGAAATGGAAGAAATCTCCAGTAGATTTTCAAAAGAAGCAGGAAGTGAAGAAATTGCTATTCCTGAACGTGAGTGTGAGTATGAACAAGATGTTGGTTGTATGTCTATGAGCGGAAACATCGATGACAATGGTAACGATGATGACGATGAATATACTCCATCAGCACATTTGATTAAAAAACCAACACTGACAACGACACCAAATCAACGCAAACAAACAATTAGAGCAACAACTAACTTTTCACCTTTATCACCATTAAGTAAGAGTTCATTCTTGCATTATAACATGTTGAATCGTTTCATTCCGAGATCTTCGAGAAAAGACTGAAAGATTTTTTGAGATATACCAAATGTTGTTGGAGCTTACTCACACCATTAGATGAACTAAAAAGCTTCAAACTTAGTACAGTCTCCATACAAAAGCTTCATGTTTGAATATAAACAGTAACTTTCATATTTTAGATTTTGACCAAGGTGATGATGAAGATTTTAGTCGCATTTTACCAAGCGTTAGTCGATCATCAATTGCGAAATCAGATAAACGTAAAAACACCGAAATAGATACCAGTTCGTTTTCTAATTCATCCGACGATGAGCATGAAGGTAAAAACCTATTTCATTTGGCACAAAGAATAGAAGAATGGCCTTTTTAGTTTCAGGAAACCGTTGGTCAAATAATAAAGAAAATTTAACAAAGTCCAATGTTGATTTATCAAATTTAAAAAATAAGAAGTCGAAAAAGAAGAGACAACGAACAGAACAAGTAGTTGTTCAACGTATGTTTATATTTTTCGAAATTCTTCATTTTCACATTTGAATATACAATTTTTCATTTAAGAATCCAATTCGGAATGTCAAGCTTTAGCTACTGATATAGAGCTTATCAAAAAACGTTTAACAAGATTAGAAAAATTGTATGGTATAGTGAAACGAAACTCAAGTTTTGATCAATCGGTGAGTATAATGACATAATAAATGTTTTGATGTTAGTAGATTATTGTGAAAATGAGAAGAGTTGTATCTGCATTGATGATCAAAAATCAACAGAAACATTGGAATAAAAAGAAGCACTTTTCAAAGATCTTTACAATCAGTTTTAAGTAGTATCAAGTTTTTTCGTAGAGAAAATCTGCAACACAAAATTCTCAAAGTAGTATGACGGAAGATGTTTTAATAAAAGTTCAGGTAAAACAACATCTCTGTATATTCATGATGAGTAGTTTGATTCTATTTAGGAAATCTTTGGTGTTGATCCAAGTACTTTGACATCTCCGATTAATCGACCAACTAAGATTATGCGAGAATTGTACAAGAAGTCGGAACATGATCTTTCAAAATGGAAAGAATATATTGAACCAAACGAGGTGGTTTTGAAAGGTATTGGGAATTTTGCGTGTATAAACACAATACTAATCGTTTTTCGTCATGCATATCACACTAAGAATGGATTTCTACAGATAAATTCTCTATTTTCATATTCTCCGCAGAAAAGATATCATATGAATGTTCTTTTCTAGAGTTTATTCAACAAAAATGTTTAATTTTACCGGAAGATATTCCGTTTACTTGGACAACAATTATTAATTCCATGACACAAATGCCATATGATGCGATCAAGTACAAAGCAAAGCCAACTGTTGATACAATCATCGCAACAGAAGAACCAAGAGATCCATCACCGGCAACAATCAATGACTAGTGAAAATGTATTGCTAACATGTATTTCTGTAGGACATGAAAAGTAGAAAAAGCATGTCGATATTATTAGTCAAGAATTTATTTTTATTATATTTTAACTTGTGTTTCGTGTATTTTCCAATGATTTGTGTACATCAAGATGATTGTGAATTAATCAGATTTGTGTGAATTAAGAGGAACTTTCGTGATTTTTTTAATGATTGATTGTAGTTACATTCTTCAAAACGCTTTATTTGTAGTTGAACTTCAGGTGTGTTATTGTATGTGTGTTGAATCATAGGTAGAAACATACATCTACAAGATTTGAAGAATCTATTACTATAGAAAGACAATACTTCATATAAAAAGATCTTATGTTCAAGATCTAAATTATCTGTTCCCAAGATCTTAACAAGCTATACGTATGATATTGATTGTCCTTACATAAGATCTTGACAGTCTGTACCAAAGATCTTACTACAGATCTTAGCTACAAGATATTTCGCATTATCTGTACCTAAATTTCCAAGATCTGTTCACTTATCTGTACCTTGGATCTTGACCAAGATCTTGCTTACAAGATGTTCGACTAGGGTGACCATCACCACATGATCATTGATTCAGAAGATAAAGGTGATCATCACATTGAACATTTGTTGTTCTATAATAACATATTTAACCTTTCTCAAATGAAATTTCATTACTCCAATCTAAACAATTGCAGTGACCATCTAGAAAAAAAAAGATCAGAAATACACATTTCATTCATATATCGATATCGATATTGATAATTGTTACATTGATTCAATTCAAGTATATCACAATTATTCTCATCATATTCAAACATACAGTGTTGAATTCCATCACAAAATTTCTCACCAATCAAGACATACTCGACCAAAATCACATTCAATACGTAAATAGCAAATGATATTATCATATTTCTGTACTTTATTTGGATTCTTCTCTCTCGTTTCTAATTGCCACTAAGCCGTTTGAGTCGCTGATAAACCAACAGGTAGTTGCTATTCACAATTTTTTCAAAATAATCCAGATCGAATAATTTGACAAAGATATTCATCAGCGTTTTTGTTCGATACTTTTCTATAACGAGAGTATTGTTCAATTCGAATGTCGAAAATGAGTGAAGTTGTCCGCCATGATTTCGAATTAAATCAAATGGTTCATCTCGACGACGACAATATTGAGGAGTATCAATGATCAAACAATCAAAAAGCTCTACTGAGTTTCCAACTTTAGTGTTATAAACATAAATTAGATTTTCAACTTATCAAAAAGTGAAGGAAAGCTTAATTGTAACCAATAACATTTTCTTTCTGCTATAGTTTGTCTTAAAAAGTACATTCTTCAAAAATGAGAAACATTATTTTTCTGCATTTTCTTTTTGTCCAAATCAAAGTTAGGTGTGACTTTAGAGACATAATATCATTACAAGTAACGCTCATCCTTTGGATTCGCTGACCCTTTTCTGAAAGACGTTTCCTAATGCTGAACACATTCAGAGACTTCGAAAGAGAAAAAACGCACTGCGATTGCTACTGGTGCTCAACTGAATCATGGCACTATGTCACACACTAGAACTAGAATAAATAGGATGCAGAGGTCTTTCTAGGAATCAGACCGATTAGCCATTT